TGGCACCGGTTTTAACGCGTCTGTTCCGGTACTCCTACTCCCTAGGCGTAGCCCCGAACTCATGGAAGACAGCATTGGTGTAACCGATCCCTTAAAAAAGGAAACCGCTCATATCCGTCCACCTACAGGCCTATCGCCATCACCTCCTTGTTCTCCAAAATAATGGAAACCATCATAAACTGCCAGCTCATGAGGTACCTTGGGAATCACCAGCTGATTAGTGACCGCCAGTCCGGTTTCCGTCGGGGTCGGTCAGCTAGTGGTCTTCTAGCTTACCTAACTCATAGATGGGCTGAGGCAGTAGAGTCCAAGGGGGAGGCATTGGCCGTTAGTTTAGACGTTGCTAAGGCCTTCGATCGGGTTTAGCACAAAGCGCTTCTTTCGGAGCTCCCTTCCTATGGGCTTCCCGTAAAATTGTGTAAGTAGATGACCAGTTTTCTTTCAGATCGGAGCATGAAGGTAGACGGTGCATGCTCCGATTACAAGCCTATTAATGCTGGTATTCCACAAGGCTGCGTGCTAGCACCAACGCTGTTTCTTCTCCATATCAATGATATGTTGCAAACCGATAACATTCATCGCTGTGCAGACGACAGCACTGATGATGCTTTATGGCCGTACCAATATTTCTCAGGAAAACGTCGCCGAGTACAGGAAAAAAAATTTTTTTTTGGAGCTGGAGTCGAGTCTTTGTTGAACAAAGTCTCGGATTGGGGGCAACTAAATCTAGTCCAGTTCAATCCCCAGAAGTCACAAGTTTGCGAGTTTACCGCTAAAAAGAACCCCTTTGTCGTATCTGATCACTTTCAAGGCACTCTCCTTGTTGCCTCTGCCAGTATCGGATTCCTCGGCGTCGACATATCGAATGATGTGCAGTTTCGTGGTCACTTCGAAGAGAAGGCCAAATTGGTCTCGTAAAAAGCTTGGCGTGGTCAGCAGAATAGGACAGTATTTCATGCCGGCACACACACAACACATTGCAACTTTATAAGGCACAGAATACTGGTTCCATCTCTGGGCAGGGGCTCCCCAGTACCAGCTCCTTCCACTTAACCGCATCTAGCGCAGAACAGCTCGATTCGTCGACGTCTTGATCAACAGAAAAGGAGTGATCTTTCATCATGAACACCAGACTACAAACATCTTTGGCCACACAACTTTGGTTCTTCTGGGGAGCGTTGTCGCCTTTCTTGAAGAACAAAACCACCGCACTTCTGCTCCACGCCTCCGGGGTAGTTCCACCATGGAGGACGGAATTATAAAAACATCAAAGAGACAAAACTTTTTTGTAAACAATGTTATTCGTTGCTCCGTTTGTAGCTAAAATATATAAATTATCTGGGTTAATAAAGTGAGAGCAAGCGACATGCAGTTGACCGCGTAAAAAACTCCGTATAAAAATTTTTGTAATTTAAAACTTTAATAACCTTATATTAAATGAAGATATCGCACAATTATTTTTTTTTTGATAAGGCCTTAGTGTCAAAGAAATAAAACTTAGAAAACCTAATTGAAATCCATCCAGTAGTTTTTCTGTGATGCGCGCACTGCTGCAAACCTCTATCATTTTATTTATATAGATATGTAGAGCGAGGGCAATGTCAATAACTTAGATTTGAATAAAGGTCTACATGAGTGAAATGGCGCTTTGAGAGTTAGTGCTCGTAAATATTTTTTTTTTTGAGTGATAAAGGCTTTATTTAATTGGGAACCATTTGCCCAGATAATTAACATGTAACGCAGAATTGAAACCGACAGGGCTGTATTTATTTGTGACTTTACGACTTTTCGACTTGACTAGATCGACGGACCTAATCCCATGTGATTTTTTCCTGTGGGGATACCTTAAATCTCGCGTACATAGCAATTCACCATCGATGGTAAGAGCCCTGCAAGAAAGTATCCGTCGAGAAATTACGAACATCGCTCCAGATCTCTGCAAGCGAGTCTTCAACAACATGAGTTTCAGATTGCAAGAACACTTAGAGCTAAATGGGCATCATTTAAGTAGTGTTGTTTTTAAAACTTGAAATCCGCACTATTTCAACGTAAAAAAATACGTAAATAAATTGGATTGCATTTAAATTGAGTTTTTATTATTAGTTAAAGTGTAGTCTGCCGGTGGACAGCCTGTATAAATTCGAAGCATCTTTTTACTGGGAAAGAGGCTTTACTTTTAGATATTAAATATAAGAAATCTTTAAGCCAATGATTTTTTTTTATGTTGGTACTTTTTACTATTAAGTACTTTGTGAATTTGGCTAAATTTAAATGTAACTTTCCCATTTTTGTTGTTTTGATGCCATGACCAGGACTAAACTCGTCTTAGTTATTGAAGTTCATCATCATCATCATTATAACAGTCCTTCACAAGTCCATTGCTGAACATAGGACTCCATCAAGGAATGCCACAAAGCACGGCCTTGAGTCACCTGCATTCATTGACTTCCTGCATCTCTTAACAAGCCGTCACCTCATCTAATATTACTGAAGTAATGAAGTTATCAATTGAAATACACCTTCATCAATTTAAAAATAATATTTTTAAAGTTGCAATTAATGAAAACAAATTATATTCATCACTAAACATTTTGATATCACTTTTGTTTGTTTGTAAATTTAGCTATACGTTCAAGGTCAAGTCTAAGTGACTTGACCTTGAACGTATAGCTTCACTGAAAGACGCAGGCGTTCTGGAGTTATTCTATTTTATGTAATCTTTAAACCAGAATCCTCACCAAAACAAATCAATAACTTCCGTTGCAGCGATATTTTGCAAAATCTGTATACGACAGTCACCCTTGAAATATAAATCACATCTTTAATCTAGACAGTAGGTACTGGTGTTTTGTCTCTATAGCTAGATTGAATTCGGGCAAATCTTCCAAAAAGGGCTTTGGTACACTTTAAAGAATTTAATTACAAATTTTCTGTTTAGTCGCGAATTGTCACCAATTCTGTACTCAATATTGGCATTATAAAATTCAATATATCATTGGAGAGAATTCTATGTTGAGGGACGTCGAAATGCTGACATTTATTAATTAATAATAATGTCCTCCAAACCGAATTTAGGCCACGGCGACCAGACTCAACAGAGACAAGCCATCTGCGCAGGACAGGATTATCATCAACCTCAGGTGCGCTCTCAATTCCCTCAGTCTCATAGTCCGATGGGACGGCAATCCACACGACTAGAGAAAGATCAAGCGCAGGATTAAAAATACGGCTTTACGTGCTTTCCGAGGTTTTACGAGGGGAACGCCAACTTCCTAACACCGGGCTGCTACTGAGGATTTCTTGATAGAAAGAAATACTCAACAATTAATTTTAGCCCGACTTTGGATTCATACCTAGAACCTCAAGACTGTCGTGTCGCGCTTACGAACACTGGTCTAGGCAGTCAAATTACTAATGAGACTATAAAGTAAAAAGTCATTTGTTCATTAACATCTTGCGAACCTAGTTACACCTCACATATTATATCTGTCTTTAAACTGACCTAATTCTTCGGTAGCGTTTATTCACCGAAGATTGGTTAGCTTGCATAGTCAAATAATCCGAGCCGTCACACTATATTGATAAATGCATAGTAATCGTTAAATATAAAAGTTGTAAAAATAATAATATAGCCGCAACATTGCACTGATACCTGGGGGCTTATACCACGGAATATTAAATGGTTTATAGCTATGATGCGTGACATGATCTAACGTTGCATGGAAGGATCTACGTTCAATCCAAATATAAGCATCCCGGCTAATTACCAAGTATTGTGTAAGTACATACCACGTACGAGTTAACACACACACACACACACACAATAAGATTCAACCGCTTACGCGTATGCTCTCTCGCAAACGGAAAAAATGTCTCTGCTATATATAATAAAAAGAAAAAAAATCTAGTTGATCATCCTAAATGGGGAGCCGGGAGATCCATAGCACAGGGTATCCTAGTTTGGACTCCCGTCTCCCACAAATTTATGCACTTACTTACTTTTGTTTATAAAAAAATATTAAAAGATAAAATATGCAATGTACAATTTGTGGGAGAAAATAATAAAGGTTTATTTTATTTATTTATTTATTATTGTGTCGCAGGTTGGCTAATCCTATTGCGTTTGCGATATTATTCATAAAATTTGCACCGATGCGGTAAGAAAGACGACCAAGAATCGCGAACATTTTATAACGTAGTATATTTTGTAAAAACACCTTTCATTGAACAAATATCATAAGAAAGCCATAAATATTTTTAGAACGCATTAGGTTAATAAACAACATGAAAAATTAAAGATCACATTATGTTACGAAGAATTTTAAATGAATATTTAAAAAAAAAGAGATGGGCAACATTAACTTCCTGATGACAATTCAAAATTATAAAAAAAATGCGGTTGCCGCCAACCCGCCTACCAAGCTTGGCCACTATGGCAAAACTATGAGGCAATGTATGAGGGAGGCCTATTCAGCAGTGGACTTTTATATGCTGTAATGAAACAAATAAGAATACTTTCTTAATGCATATTTTGTATTATTTTTTAGAGAATTCTATTGTGTATTTGTTATAAGTTATTCATTTAGCTATTAGGGACAAGAAGATAATATAGTGAGTCACCTGGTTATTTTTTTCATTAGTAGCTGTAGTTGCGTTTAGACTCAAACATAAATTAAACATTAAAACACCCCCGAAACAAAAAGAGCGGATGACCTTCAAACGGCTGAACAGATTTTCTTGAAACATAGCTAAGAACACTCTCGATTAAGTCACCTTTCAAACGAAAAAACCCTAATCAAAATCGGTTCATCCTTTGAGGAGCAATGATGCTACAGACAGAAACACAGATCACAGATAGACACTACAAATATATAGCAACATCGTCGGGGGTTAAAAATCCACATCAAATCTTTATTAGTTAGCAATTTTTATTTATATTAAAAAGATTCTAATTTGTTATTTTTACATGCTTAGAAAAAAATCTAAATATTTATACATACCCTAGTAAAATGGGTCAAAACTGTTACATGATGTTGTCTCTTGGCCAGTGCTTCGATGAGGCGACCGTACATAGCATAATGACTTCTAGTGTTAGTGGGCAGCACAGCGAGAATTCGTGCAGCGTGCGCCGCTGCCGCACAGAGAGCCACCAGCCAAAGCAGCCGCGCCTGCATCTCACTACCGTCTGTCGGAGATTGCCTGCCTTGCTTTACCTACAAAAGCCATTTGAATCGATAAGGACTGACGTCACTCCTGAGACCTATGCCATACTCTTCAATGTGCTCTCCTTTTACTATCGACGCTCTCCAAGACTATCCGGCTGCAGATATGCTTTATCTTTCTTTTAATGCGTCTACGTTTTTTTAAGCATAATGTCTAAGTAAATATCGATGATAGAGGGCTATTCAGTGTGCTTTAATCATGAATGATTTTTTTGATATTGCTTATTGTAAGTTGAAATATAAGATCATGACAAACGACCAAAAATTGATTATTGCTATGTATATTTAAAATAATTAATAAAATAACTGCAACGTCTTCGGTCTTTGGAGAGTATTCTTGTCTTTGTCTGATAAATGTTAACTTTTTATTTTAACGAGACTTCATTAAATCGGCAGATTTCAGATACTATTTTTTTATTAATCCTTAAATTTAACTTGAACATTTAAACAGTTTTAGTATCGAGATAGAAAAAATCATCTAGTTCACATTCTTCAATTTGTTCGTACGGTTTTTTGTCGTGTGCGAGGTGTATAACGTGTTTTATCATTAACGAGATATACCTACATTAGCTTTTCCTGAACGCTTTTGCGAATATCTTCAGATAATTATAAATATGAAAACGGTTGAAACTTGCTGTACTTATCTTACTTTCAATTAGCATCTCGTAATAAAATATTTCTTTACAATCACACCAACAACGGAGCAGGATCTTCTATCCTTTTTAAGGTGTAAGAGGCGACTTATCTTTTGAAATCTTCCTAGTTTTATGTTCAATCTAGAAACTCTTTTCTGTGTGGGTGAGAGAAGCGGAAAATAAGTTTGTTGGTTTTTGATTATGAGGTATTTATTGAGAATAACTCAATGAATATCTCTATTATATAATATATAATATCTATATTCGATAGCCAAGAACATGGAGATGATCGGACGAACTTTTTCCATAGCAACATAATACAATATTCAATAGGTTGTACAATTATTTACAAAACACATTTGAGAAATATCTTGGAAAAGATTACCTCTTTTCCATGGGTTATTATCAACCATGTTATCATATATATATACTAGCTTTTTACCCGCGGCTTCGCTCGCGTGCGCTTGAATTTAGGGACATCATTAAATGCTGTTCCGTGTCAAATTTAGAAATATTCGATCAGTTTTAGAGTCACCTTGGTTTCACCTTTTTTCATTCTAAAATACTATTAGATGTAGATGATTGGTAACATGCTACAGAAACACGTGAATATACTTATAATATGTCTAGAAACTCCTACTATTTTTTATATATGGCGTGTCTTCCGAATCCGATGTATCCATAAGAAAGGTAAATAGTCTTGAAATCAAAATGTATTATTATTATTTACATTTTACTCTTTACATATATATAATCATAATTAAAGTAAATTTAGTTTTAACTAGTAGACTTGAAAATTTCATAAATACAGTTCTATAATAATGAATACCACACATGGATTAAAACTAATGTTACGGTTTTTTACGCATCTTGACTCCTCACCGAATGAAAGCACCGAAGCTCCGGGGAGTCTAAAGTATGTAAACATGTTTAGTATCGTCCCAACCATTATATACAACAAATCCTTGCAATAGAACACCGAATCCTACCAATGATGATTCGCGAGGCTATTGAAATTAAAAATATCGTAATTTTAATAGGGAAGATGGCTGAGTGCTACTATCTGCTAAGGACTCCATGATTAATAAAATTAAATTCAAACTACTACTGCATTTTAACAATTCTATTTTAACTATGACATCAGGTCGTCAAACACCTCAGTTCTGCCACCCCTCCCGTGACCATGGGTGCTGTAAATTGCCCAAACCATCGGGAATTTAAAAAGTTAAAATTAAACGCGATAAAATCCTTAAAATTACTTTTATTCCTTATAAATTTTATACACAGTGAACGTGAGGAACACTACACTCATGAACGGGAATAGAAAAATGTTCGGACTGTTGTGGCGATGAAAGAAAATCCAACACATCATATCGTCCCGTCGTAAGAGGCGACATAGGAAAAAAATAGTAGATGGTATGATCTGCATCATCTTCTTGACAACAGATCAAAATAATAATAGCTGCGGTTGCCAACCCGCCACTATAGCAAATATCCAGCTACTTGACAATTTATGGGGGAGGCCTATGTTCATTTCAGTGGATTTTTGATAGGCTGACGATAATGAGTTCTACTCATCTTTGCAAGCCTTAATATTTACGGTAGTATTACGGTAGTGAAAACATAAATTATCATACCCGAAAACACGAATGAAATAAAAACTGCATATATTGCCCCATGAAAAGTAAAAAAGCAGCTTACATACATGCTACTACTGGGCACAGGCTGTAGAGTTTTTGGCCAAAAAAGAGTTCACTGCACTGATTCCAACGCGGGATGAACGTAATGTAAATGATTCAATTATTTACATCGTATATTCAGTAGCATTATAATATTTCATTTTATCAATGTCTTGCCATTTTAATTTATTTAGAAGTAAGTAGGTGGCGCTAATATTACATGAAATAATGAAAGCCAAAACTATACCATCTAGTAATATCAGCAATAGAAACGAACATTTATTTATTATATCAATAAGGGATAAAATGATGCCAATTCTCTTAAAAGTTCTGTTTCTGTTAAAAATAAGCTACTCGTATCAGCGCCGCTAGCGGTGAAAAACGATAATGATATCGTCATATGACCATATTATGAAATAGCAACGTTGTGTTTAGTTACTAATAACTTCAAAAGATTTCTATTCATTGATTTGGTCAAGCTATATCATGACACGGTCATCAAATAGTGTTTAATACACATTCATTTCAGTCATTTTTTCAGTGTTTTCACGAAATGATAGACTACTTTATGATATATGATCAATTCTACGATCTGGTCACGACATACATAAAAATGTCTTTAATAACTATGATGATAATGAAAATTTTGCAACAATTGCAGACAGACCAATTTTTATCACTTTACATATATATTAGTAATTGAAATAAATACCTTATCAATTTTCATATTTTTGATAGACGTCACTATTATCTATTGAAATTATTACACTTTTAAAATAAAATAACTAATACTAAAAAACTGAACGTTACACTTTTTTAATAATTTTAAAAATCTAATAATTTAATCATATAAATGTAAGTTATTTATATTATTTCATTTATTAGTAACTGAAGGCAAAATATACAACTTTTTCCATTTGATGATAGATGGCGCTGTTTTGAATACGAAATCGGTGTAGTTTCAAATTATTTTACCAAGATTATAACTATATTTTAAACTTTATTTACAAATATGGTAATATGGTATTTATTTGAAAAACACCCGTCATTCCGCCTATAACTAAGATACAACAGAAAATTAACATCTAAAGGAAATTAATATACTTAACCATCCTTTTTTGAAGTTCCGTAATCGGATAAAAAGTAGCCTATAAGTTGCCCCGGGTTACTGACTACCTACATACAAAATTTCATGTAAATCGGTTCAGTAGTTTTTGCGTGAATCCGGAATACACAGACAGACAGACAGACAGAAAGACAGACAGACAAAAATTCTAAAAACCACTAATTTGGCTTCAGAACCCTTTATTTAGTCCCCTGGACTTGTTTTTTTAAGAATATATTAGAATTACAGACACGACTTTTCTACAGATTTATTATATGTATAGATATATATATATATATATATATATATATATATATATATATTATAATAACCCTTTTTAGTCCTTTATTTGATAAAAAAAATTAAAGTTTGTAATAGCCTTGTATATTTTCTGGGACTAAGTTGTTAAATCGTATCGACTCTGTGGAATCTAGTAATTCGAATCACTAGCTTGTGGCAAACGCCCGCGGTGTTAACAGTAAAAATGTACTTTGTGGTTAACAGAGTGTAAAACACCTTATTTTTAAATTTAAAACTACTTTAGTTTTTGTGAACATATATTAAATCAAAGTAAATATATTTATTTCTTTAAATGTTTTTCTGAGATACTCTTTCGGTGTTAGATCGTGAGTAAGATTTTATGGCCCCTTTTCTGCAGAACAAAAATATTTTCTAAATCAACCGCATTTGCCCATAGTAAAATCCCATAAGATATAACGCTACGGAAATAACTGAAATAAACTAATTTAACTGTTTCGACACAAGTGAGACCTCTAATCTTTATTACAGCAGAGCGATTTATAAACTGCAGAGCTTAATCTGCTTGCTTGTTAAGATATATTACCCATTATGATATATGGCCAAATATGGCCCACTGACCACCAAACAACTGAGTTGTACATACGTTTGTTTTAAGAGTAATAAAAAAGAAAAACAGTGGAATCGACAGGGCCCAGTTCTTCACTTAATTCACCTGTACATAAAAATAATACTTATTTATACTAGTATATCACATAATAGTTGAAGGTCAAAAGATAGATTCAGATCTCAAATTTTACTATGAATATATTTAAATCTATTGGCAAGAACTCAGTTTCTTTTTATAGGATAAGGGTGACGAGCGAGCACACAGTCCACCTGCTGATAATTCGATTCTATGGCCCATGGGCATCTACATTTATCCTCGATTAAGAATCAAAATATACCTGCGTTATTATCCTGAGTACTAAGATGGAATGGGTCGTTTCCAGTAAAAAAGGGTCCCCGGTTCTCTACACCTCTACAGTCACCATACGAAACACAGCAGCATTAAGCTATATTTTACGCTGGTATTGTGACAGCGTGGTTCTTCCCCAGTCGAGCCGACTCATTCGTGCTACAACCATAATATAGCTGCAGTATATCTCTACCACGTACAGAAGTTTTTTTTTTCTTCATAAAAATGTAATGACATTCAAATCAACTATATACCTAGTTCGGACGGATAGCAGGGTAAAAGCGATAGCATTATGTAAGTATTGTATCTTTTAATTA